AAAAAAAAGTAACACTTTGAATATTATTCAAAGATCACAAGGCTGCTTACTCTTTGTAAACTTCAAATTTCTTCCCACCACATCTCTAAAACTTTCCTCTGTCATCTTCCTCATTTCAGTTTTGTTTTCTGAATACTGGACTGAAATTTTAGAAAAAGGGAAATTGTAGGTGCTGTTCTTCTGTGAGGCCAAAACTTGGAGTGGAACAAGGGAAGTCCAGAGGACTCTGACTGATATCCCTTGCCACACATGGCCTAAGTATTGGTCAAAGGCCTCCAATGTGTTCAATCTACTTTTCAATTAGTCAAGTTTTGGGATTTCTTGCAATATTAAAGTGGAAGGCAGAGTCTCCTATGCCATTTCGCCTTCTATTTGGTCTACTTCTTACCACCATGTTATATTGATGTGAACATTGCCGATACCAGTTCTTCTAGGTAAACTTTGCGATTTTCCTACCTTTCCTTAAATGTCATCATTTCTCAAAACTTAGTTCTTAGCAGGACAATAGAGGCTTAGTGGCTCAAAGCCATGCCTGCTGAGTTATATTCCCTGAGGAGATATGAATGAATGATATGAATGAATGTTTCTTTAGTCCATCCTGGGATCAATAACCTAACAATTGCAAAACAGTTTCAACCATCCCAGACCAATGACCCAAGCTGAGTGGGTTCTCTTATGGGATCATGGGTAACATAAAGCCAGCTACATTACAAAACACTCATCACAGTGTGGATAGTGATTCAGGGAAGGTGGAGCAGAAGAGATTACAGCCCTCAAAACAGGCAACTCCGCAAACAAATATTGACTATTTATATTCTCTCCAAGTATGTTCATGAAATGTGCCATTTCTTCACTTCCTAGGTGGGAAAAGCTTTCCTTATGCCTATAGGTATGAATTGTCATTACAGAGTAAATAGCAATGAAATAAGAAGTGTTCTTCTAGAGGTAATATGAGATAAGTAGCTATAGAGAGACTTATAAGAATGAACTGTGCTCTACATTTTTTTCCTTCAAGATTTGAGCTTGGAATTAGAAAGAGACAAGTGAGTGAAGGTCTGTTTATATGGTAGGACTGAATAAAATAACAATACATAGATCCTACAAAATTTAGTTGTATACAAAATACATACTAAGTTATTTAGGAAAAAATGACTTTTCTGCCAAATATATCAGTGACATGATTGTCAACCCTCTTATTTGGGAATATATGTATGCATTTATGTCTATGCATTAACATTTCATAGGTAAAGGCAATGGACCCCCAGCTATTACATTCTAGTCTATACTGATTTAAAATGTCCTAGTGAAATATCAATAAAATAATAGAATTTATCTAATGCTTTCTGGTTAGATCCATTGATTAATAGTAGAAAAAAATTGTAAATTGTGTAAAAAGTAATACCATAATTGCGTGTTGTTTCCTCATATATTTGAATATAAACTTACCTTTTATTGTAAAATTACTACAGTATACTCACATTTGATGTTTCCATTATTCTGCCTCCTCAATCTCCCTCAGTGTGATTCATCAAACTGTCCATCCTGTTCAACAACTTTCTAGTAAACAGCTACTAAAAGAGAGTCAAATATAAGACATGTGTTACAGAATTGACCCTGTCCACATTGTCTGTTCATAAATTCCCACCATAGAACTCTTAGAGTACAGCCACCAAGCCACCTGAAAACTTTCATAACTCTGTGGGTACCATCAAAATTGATAAAGGTTCGATTTGAACAAGAGAGACCTCTTAATT